TGAGAGAGATTACAAGAAACATGCTCTTATACATGAAAAAATAATATTTTTCATTAATATTTGTAATGAGTCTTAATTTAAATAAAATCCTAAGCAAATACTTACTGTTGCACCAAGAAGTAAATAAAATTCATTTAATGGCGTATCGTAATACTGATTAAGCATCATCATCAAAGGTGATAGATAAATCCAATCCCAAATTGTCAATTTACTTTTAGTCATGTGAGCCACAATTAATCTGAAAACCAATCAGTAAAACAGTTATTAGACTACTTATCTAAACTAAACTAATCTATTAATAAACACTTAAAAATCGATAAATATTAATTAAAAAGCTGTTTTCCTTACTTTCCACAACAAAAAAGTCGAAAAAGTTGATTATAACGAAGCGACAACCTCTTCTATATGAAAAAAAATTTACAATATAGCAACAAGATGATACACCAGATACAATCAAAAATTGAAGTAGCTTACCGCATTGTAACTTTCGTTGATACTGCGCCAAAAGATAAAGCGAACAATGAAATATGATCATCATAAACTGTGGTCACAGACTTGCTGTAGATCATACAAAATGGTGTTGTCATCAGCAGTAATGGTATCAATGGTGACAAAACAGAGGTATCCTAAAATATATAATTTATTTTTCTATTTAGCAGCGCTTGCATTAGCAGAGAGAAAAAAGATGTGCACATAACTTACGGCAACTGTTGATCCATTTTTTCCTACACCGCCAGTAACGACATCGACGAAATAGTTGCAAATCTGTGATGAACACACCAGTAAAGCGATAAAAAGAGCCACGTATTTTAAACTTACGCATAAGAACTGAAAACATGCAAAAAATTAGTTGAGTTTCGGACGAGGATCGAAATTTTAAACATGCGATAAGGATGGGCAAGGTTAAAAAGTGACCCGCTCAGTCCAAAAGTCAGTGCCCAACACGCATGTTACGCACAGAACAAATATAACCACCATTTGGGCTTCGGTAACATCAAATCTGCAAAAAAATATTTCAAAATTAGATAGCTCAGAATAAGAAATTATGAATAATTAATCTTGCATATCAGCAACAATCACAAAAATCAGCAAATACTGTAATTTACAAATACATCCTATTAAAGTTCCTTGAGCTTAGATTTAAATCATTTTTAAAACGATAAGAATAAAAATATCGCAGTTAAAGACCAATATTCGATTTTGAAGTCCAAAAGCAGAAAGTGATGAGAGAGACTGTGTATCTGGATTCCGTAAATGAAGTTCATCATCCAAGTAATATAACTGTGACAAATTATCTTGTTATGAGCCTTTCAGGTTTCTTTACTTAAGTTTACAAAGAACGGACTTATCTTTTGGCTATGATAAGTATATTTCAGACTACAATTTGTCATAATGATCATAACGGAAAATTAATTATTTGATCCTAAATTTAAATTTCGAATCATCTTATTCTACACTATCCACTTTGACTAAGTAGACTTACTTCGCAAATTTCAAACGTCCTGTACAATATGTACTCCAGTGTGCACAATAGAAAAGCGTAACAGATAAAACAACAACCATTAACATCATGTAACGTTCTTGTCCAATCAACATGGCATAGCAAATATTTAGAGTTACAAGTACTAAAAAAAAAGTAGTGAATGTATAGCATAAAGAATGAAACGAAAAGAAAATCAATTGGAAGGTACAAGTCAAATAAAAAATTTCTGGAAAGAAGGAAATACTTACATTTCTTCGGAGCTTGCTACCTACGCGTCCCAACAATAATTGACAATATAAGATGCGCAAAAGAATGTAGAACATATTTCAGCAAACAACAAACCTTGCGACATCGCGTCACAACCATGATCGAAGAGCTCACCAAGTGGCGAACTGGAGCCAGTACGACGGGCTTGTCTTCCATCAGTAGCGTCCAATGTCTGATATAGAAACAAGCCAATTGCTGCTTGGAAATAAGCCCAAGACGACGCCTGTTGTAACAATATATTATTTATAACGCCATGGTTTATACCAAGACTTATTAAAGGATTATTTACACTGCTTGTAATCATAGCAGCAAGTACAAAGAAACTTACAGGCATTTTTGCATCATATGAAAAAGAAGCCAGCACGGAAACTGTGGCCAGATTTATTAGAAATCCAATTACAGTTATTAAATTTGGTGCAAGCCACATAGGGTAAAATTGAACAACATAATCCCAGAAACTGTAACAAGCAGTAAAAACAATAACAGAGAGGCCAAGTAACAGAGACAGTAACAGAAACAAATAAGATACTTCATTCCAAAAAATTCTATGAATGCTATGAAACTTAAAACCAATTTAGCATTCAATTTTGCAGTACTTTCTTCAGCACTTATATGAAAAATCTACAACTTAGTTTCTTAAGATATACTGGAAATATTACAGATAACCTGTCTTTTACTGAAATGTTCTCAGTATCTATCACAAAAATACATCTCCTGCAACGATAAATTTAAGTGTAGTAACTAGAAATAAAAATGAAAAAACCATTTCATGCAGAATTCATCAAGCCAAGATGTGTCCACTGCAGAATACTTATGCTTCCGAAGACGATCCATTTGAACAACTTGAAGTTGGCAATCCCCTTCCAAATAATCATTCCATGCACTGCGAACGGACCACTTCATATATTCCATGAACCTCTAGAACTCATATATTTAACACGTTTTAAATATCGTAAACTGAAAATTTTTCTTAAAAAAATAAAAGATGAAAACTGCGTCTAACTCAAAAATAATACCAGACTTTCGAAACTGAAGAAATCTGAAATTTTGATAGAAAATCAAACTTAAGTTCAAGAATCTTTATGAATAAAATATAAATTGAGGTAACAACAATCCCGAAATAATGATCAATAAAGCTTTTTATAGAAAGGATCTACGAAAATCTTATTCATTAATGAAAATTTCTGTGAAGTGGTTAACAATTGCCTAATTGTAGGATAAAAAAAATACACCAAAAAACGAATTATCACTAAAAAAAAGTTCTCGAACATTGAACTTATTATCTCCCCTCCTTATTTCCTTCCTTCTCTTCTTTGATTCCTACTTCAGTTATTACTGCAGTTGGTCTTTGACATCTTTTCTCATGTAGCATACAGTTTCAATTGTTTTCTATTATATCTAACAAAACTCAACTTAATTACTCAACACAGCATTAAATCCTTTAATTCTTTTTTGGTCAGTATGTCTGTATTGCGATTGAAACAATGATGCCCTAGAAAGTAAAAAGTAAACACATGTCAGCACTTGAGTTTATTTCCCAGAAAGCATGCAAAGGAAAAAAGTGAAGAAAATATGCAGGCAAATAAATTCTCTTGCATGACTAGTGGTTGAATATATTTAAAAAACACACTTCAAAAAGCGAAATCTCAGTTGTCAGGAAGATGCTTCTTTCAGTTAAAAGTAAAATAACGTAAATTACATTTGCTATAAAATTTGATTAATAAGAACAAATGATACGCAATGAAAAATTTAATCAACGTCAATAACTTATTCTTGATTTATTTTCAGAAATATGCAAGTGTTTGTGTAAAAACTCTTTTTAATATAACATATCACAGATAGAATATTGTAATAATTAAATGAGTCTTACAGCACTAACTCACGTAAATAACCAAGAGGTGTTTAAAATTATGAAACATGGTGATAGGGTACAATAATTTTAGTTGACATGCATTCACATATAGTAGCGGAAAGAGGACACTATTGATTCATAACTACTGCCAATTTTACAATATCTATAACTAGTCGAAGTATCAATCAAACTACTGACGACGACAAACCATTCACTACAAATCAACTGAGAAATTTTCGAAGGAGTCAAATGCGATGTTTTTACTGCACCTTTACTGTAAGGTTTCGGAAGTCTTCAATTTTCGAGACTGGATTTAAAATTAATACACTAATCATCCTTCTTACAAAAACTATTATGCTTTTGTGATAATATCATAAATAAGGGAACATTTGCGCAAAAAATTATCAATGTTGAAGCAAGCAAAAAACTGAATTAGCAGGCAAGGTACCTCAAGACGTGCACGATAGGAGTACTTTCTCACGAAACCTTGGGAATCTCTTACACGATACCGACGTTCAAACTCACTTGACAAATATCGGGGCGTTGGCCTCACCCAACCATAATTTCGTTCTTCACCATTCACAACACCCTTAAACATAATTAAAAACCCCTAATATTAGAATATATAACTTGAAAAAAATATTGCATGGAAATTGCAACTTTTATAACTTTAAATTTATTACTAAAATATGCTTAAATATATTTTCAGCCAGAACCAAAACTACATTAAAACAGTAATATCTTAAGCTTTTCTTTAAAGTGAAATTTGATGAAATCCGAAATTCTAAATAACATCTACATTCCTCCTTATCGTCACTGTGAATTTTTAATCATCATAGTTTACAGGGTCACTTAATTACCAACATTTTTGAATTTCTTCTTTTTTGCCTGGGTCGCAGACTGCATGCATATAACATTAAAACTGGGCACTCCAAATTTTAAAAAAAGCCAGTAATTAGTCATCTTTCAAAGCAGAACATACAATTAGCTTCGCTAAAAGATAAACAAAAATACAAACAAATTAGTACATATACGTTTGAAAAAAAACAAGAAAATAAAACACCACTGAAAAGGTTAAGAGTGGTATAGTCGAGTAACCTTTCAAAATCTAAGCACTGCGCGTACAACTGGTTGTAAATTATTGGCAACTAATAAGTAAAAGTGTTGATACGCATTCGTTTTTTTCTAAAATTTACTAATAAGTTCAAGACGAAATTTTCAGATAAATATAAGAAAATGATAAATAAGCTTTTGTGGATCAATTGAAAAATCAGTAAAGCAAGCTGTTGATGCTGTGAGATTTATAATGTTTCGATACATACCAAACATATCTGGGCTACAGATGTAGAAAAATCAGAAAGCAATAAACTGTTTTTTCATTGTAAAAGGGTGGAAATAATACTACTTCTACTTCTTGCATGCAAGTGCCTCATTTATTAGCAAAATAAATGTAAACAAAAAAACCTACCCGTCGGCAAGTAACAGTAGAGCGAAGAGGAAACGACCGGCGTAACCTCTCATCATTCATAATTACGACGATCACGGAAATCTTTAATCTAAATTCATTTCTGCTTACTCCTAAATTGCAATTTTTAATCAATACGCAATTACAAGATTTGATGAGAATAAAAGAGCTTTCACATACAAGGAAATTCTGATAAAATGCATAATACTGCAATTAATGCATTACATCTTAGCAATAAATGATTAGAAGGGAAATAATTTCTTACTGAAAGAGAAGAGAGTGAATAGGCTTGCATGCAATTGGCACAAAAATAATGGGCCAAAACAATTAAGAGGGATGAGTAATAAGTCGTTTGATTTAATCACACTGAGGATAGTATAGATGGCTGGTGATTACTTTCAGCACTGATCACAAATTTTGATTTTTTTATCTTCCTTATAATTATTTCAAGATTACAATGGCAAACATAGTACCGAAATAAGCTGAGTGGAAAAAACTGAGAATATTTTCAAGTCTCATTTACTATCCACTATCCCTGCGCTAGATTGTATTAGCTGTCTGAGTTTAGTACATCTTCATTTTCATCCCAGTTTTTCTTTGGAAGCGACATTAGACAGTACAACGAACTGGAGCTGATAATTCACATAAGAGTCGGCAACTAGCACAAGCACAAGAATAAGCAACTGCCACTAACTTTAAAATTGTGTACGTACCACTTAGAATTTTTACTGATAAGCAAGTTGCATGCCTTTCCTTCACCCTTGGTAACCATCAAAAATGCAATGTGTAGTTCGATAGTGCATCATCTTTATTCTCCTGCATAGGAATCGTCTACTTGATTATTTTTACATCTCTACCATTTCATGGCAAACACTCCAGTCTTTGAGCTGATAGCGTATTACTTCTTTCTTTCCTTTAGTTGTGTACAGAATCTACACAGTGCTAACAAGTATTTCTAATCACGTCTAGTATTCTGCTAATTTGTAAGTCAAAAACTGACATTCCAGATATAGCAGTACTAACCATACGGTTAAGAAAACGGACTAATTTCAGCAAATTGAAAAAAAAATTTAAAGAGCGCTATTTTAAAATGAGTTCTCGTAAAATTTTATCGTATGAATTGTGAAAATTCATCATCCCATATCATGTGGTGAAATATATTATTGTTCAGACAGTATTTTAATTTTTATGCGACAATATAATGAGCAAATTACAAATAAATTTCTCAGCTGTAATAAAATGGGTGGTGAATTACAAGAGATGTTTTTGAATGTTTCAAAGAAGAACACTTAAAGACACTAATTTCTTCAGCTCATTGCTCGTTCTGAACTAAATAAATAGGCGGTTCAGTATGAGTAATTGATGCAACTAAAATTAATCATAATAAAACGCCGATTAGTTGTGTTAAAGTCAACTTTCAAAATGAAACTATGAAGTGAGTGGCATTCACAAATAATAAATTTATGAATAAAAGTTAAAGCGACGAATATGTAATGAAAATATTTTTATCTACTGATTAATTAGAAGTCAAAGAGGAATATTTTTCTAAATTAGGACAAGAAATTTAGTAAAGACAGATGATTAGAAGACTGGATAGAACGATTCAAACAAAAACATTGGTTTCTGACGCAACTTTTATCTATTCTTTCTTTATTTTCTTTACCTTTACATCTCAATCTAATTGCTATCATTAATCCTTAATTTTTCTCTCATTTTTTCTTCATCTCCCAATATCTAATAAAAATATGATAAAGCATTTCTTCCGCTGGTAAAACTACAAAAAATCATGCTCTAAAAATACATAAAATCCTTATTAATTTGGAACAGGGTCAACAGCAAGATAGCAAAATGCCAATTAAGTTTTGCTGCTGATAGTTTATCAAACAGTTACAGTTACTCAGTAGCGGGTTTTAAGGTGCTCGTTTCTAATTATATTTGTTCAAATAGCTAAAGGACTACTTTAAATTCTATTCCAAATTTGATATCAATTCAATCTTCACAATATTTTCTGTTCCTTTCATCAGTATTTTTCATTGAAATACGTCTACTATCAACTATATTTAGGATGATCATCATCACAAAGCCTTTTCTCAACGTTTGAGCATTAAAGTACAGATATGGCAGATGACACACGCACACACACACAAGTAATACACTGCTTTCAAAAATAAGATAGAAGGAAATTTTGTACATAGTTAAGAGGAAATTACATATATTGTTTGTATTAAGTACAAGAAGGCAATTTAAAAATTATTTTTCATTACTTTTTCCACACAAGATGTGTACAAAAAATTTCAATTTTTTGTAGGTTTTATAGCACAGAGCATGTGAAACACAAAATTACTATGTAATATCAATTTTGATGTAGTGAAAAAGTTTCTTGCGATCACGAATATCATTTTCATGTCTAACTGGTTCTGTATTCAGCCATACTTTCATCTGTACTGGATGTAATTTGTCGGAAATCTTCACTTGCTGATGTACTTCCCTCTGATATCTGTAACTTTACTATAACATAATTTAACTGCTTAAGAGTGAAAAATTGATAACATGCAAATGTTGCTTACATTCGACATGAAATATTCTAAAATACAATGATACCTATTTAATTTCTATACTTTCTTTGTGAAGTATGAATAAATTGTAGCGCTAAATTGATAAATTAAAAAACTATGTGAATTTGATGAGTACATAAGCGTTGACAACTAACTCCTGAAGATGAATCTCCTGATGTGAGTGCTACATCGGTTGAAGGACTTGTGAATTCTGCTTCATCAGCACTACGAACATCATTAATTAAAGCCTGAACAAGACCCTCATGTGAAAGTGTTTCGATTGCAGCCATGTCCATTTTTACCTACAATTTATATTTGAACTGATGAGCGAATCTTTGATTCATGCAATTCATTTCTCAGAATGATAGACATAATGGCACCTGTAGTAAAATGGCAAATTTTAAATTTAAAATTCGTTATGCATTTCACTGGCAACCATTTATTTTTATTGAAGTTTACTTTAAATGGGCAAGCGCTTTCATTATTAAGATTAGGGTGATATTCTTTGAAATATGGATGTTGAATAGCTTCATCAACATTGATCCGCTCCTCAGGATCCATTTTTGCCATTTTGGCAATTAGATCCAAAGTTTCAAATGAATTGGCTTTGTCGCGTATAATTTCGCTCCATGGTCGCACCGGATGATCACCGAAATTTTCGATCAAACGTCGTGTACGTTCGCATTGAATTTGACTCAAAACCTGAATGAAATCAATAATAAAAATATGTTTCACGCCAAATTCACAAAATCACAGTTAAAAAAAGATTTGACTAGTAGAATTTCGAAACTAAATGGCCATTTTACATTTTTTTTTAACCATTAAAATCAAGTCCTACAGAATTTGATGCAGGACAAGTAATATTGGTATTGAACTTTTTGTAATATTAATATTTCTTCTTTTTTAGATTGTTTGAAAGTAAGGATGAATTAAATTCTTATTAGCTTTGCTAATATTGATTTTATAATTTTATGATAATTTTCAAAGCACGATGAAAGTATTGTTGACTGAGCAAATTAATATTTTTTGAGTTATTATGTAACTTTTTATTTATTTATGTGGCAGAATCTATTTTTTTCCTTATATCAAGTTCAATATGACAATTTTAGTACTAAGTAAAATTTTAAATTAGATTAGAAACTTAATTGGAAGCAAGTTAACCTTTCCAGAAGGTGCACCTAACATAGTAACAATAATTTTTATTTGCCCACTGACACTTCGACCTGGAAATAATTCCCGACGAATCATCATTTCAGCAAAAATGCAAGCAACTGCCCATAAATCTACAGCTGTTGAATGTTCAGGCATGACGAACAAAAGTTCAGGAGCTCTGAAAATTTTATTTAACATTCCTTATTTTAGCCAAATCACTTTTCTCATCTTTAGCACTTAAAAATTTTTAGAAAGCAATACCATTTCATATGAATCAGAATCATTATATATCATGTTTGCAGTGCATTGAATCTTTCTATTCATTGACAAGTAAGGAAAAGATACATTTTTCGTGCTCTTTACAAGCATTTGACATGAATGAACTTTGTACTAATCATCTAGTATAATTATTAATAATTGTTGATTGCATTAATCAGCGCAAGTCACCTATATGGAAGTGTAGTGATATGTTGTGTCATGTAGAATGAATGCTCTTCTGCTTCTTCAATTTGATTTTTCATTGCTAATTTTGCCATGCCAAAATCAGCAATACGTAAATGGCAGTCACTATTCACAAGTAAATTTGATGGTTTCAAGTCCCTATGAGCTATACCAGCAGTATGTATGTGCTGAAAAATAAGTGAATATTAATGCTTTTGATAATTAAAACTTTGAAAATTCATATCAACGAAAAAAAAGTACAACTTTATTAAACTATTCAAAATGAAACACTTACCCTAAGACCTCGTAGTATTTGATACAAGAAATGCGCGATCAAATCGTCTTCCATAGGACCACCACAGTAAATAAGATGATGTAAGTTACCTTCCATCAAGTCCATTACAAGATAAACATTTATACCTAAAAAACAAAAGTTCTGAATATATCTTTCCAAGTGTGACTTCTAAAACGTTTTCCAAATTAAAAAATAATATGTGAAGCATACCTAAAGTCCCAGGTGTTCGAAAAATATCCCTGAGGCTAACGATGTTATCATGAGTAATGTAACGTAAAACGCGTATTTCACGTAATGTACGTCTAGCAGAAGTTGGAGTTGCAGATGCATGACCGATCTTTTTAATTGCAACCTAAAATTTATCCTATTTACAAGTATACATTTATGTTTTCAAGAATTCATAAATGATTGATTCAGTTTTTATAACATTTAAAAGTTTTGCAACGAGATTTTAGAATACGCGTCACAAACTTTTTTGCCCGTAATTGTTTCAATCGCTTCGCAAACTATCCCAAATGCTCCGGCACCAATATTTCGAATTGCTTCGTAGCTACTACCGGCAGCACCAAATTGAAAATCAAGAAGAAGCTGCCGTCGAGCAAGATCGTCCAATATCCTATTGAAAGCCTGTGCCGTTGCTGGCATGCTATAAGTTTTTTATGTGAATTTAACAATTTTCAGAAATTTATTGTACATTAAGTCAAAAATGTTCCTAATTACATTTTATTAGCGGCGATTTGCAAGAACTTATGAACATATGTTACATTCAAGCAAATATATTTTACAAATCAAGACTTTCTGATATCCGTCCCGAAAATTTACTGTAAAAGATATTGTAAAAAAAAGTACTCATGTAATCATTAAAGTAAATAAATGGTATAAAACTGGTGTTGAACAAGAGTTTAACATAGTACCGCAGAAAATATATATATGTATACAAATGACTATTAGATGATGTAGGAAGTTTGACTTAAAAACATTTCGGCTCAAATACAGTTTTTTGTCACATAATCAAGTATTCTGGTTCTTATTTTACAACAAGTGAAAACGGCATTAAATTCTGTAAATAGAATATTCAAATACCAATAATCATTTAAAATGAAGTCACATCTATAAATAAATGACTATTTACTCTTTCATACAAAAGCGTAAATACCGCAGTATTCCTGCTTGGTTTGAATTCCAACGTAAGAAATGCCAAATTTTACATTTTATATATTCTTAAAACTTAATATAGCTTTTAAATCTTAACAGTAGCAATTATATTACAAAAAAAGTGTGATTTTTGACAGCTAGAAGTTGTCTAAATAATAAATGATAGTTTCAAAAACGAGTTTTCTTCAATCATACATTGTTGTAAAGAAGTCAAGTTTAATTATACTTATAGCAATTTTAGAACAGTTATTTTGCTTAAAAAGTACAAAGCTATTAGGATATATATTTATATTATATGAATTGTGCAATGGTTTGACGTTTCATGAAATTTGCTGGAATTTCTTTTTTCACAAATTTTAAAAATAATGCATTAAACAAAACTGATAAATCTAAAGATTTTTTAAAAAAATGCGAAAAAAACTTGTGCATAAAATGTTAACAATTCAATATGAAAACGAAATATGAAATATTTTTGTTGCAGAATGCACAAGTTGTTTGCTTTTTTCTCGAAAAGAACACATTTACATTGAATAAAGCAAAACTACATTTTTATTTGCTTCTCATAATACTTAGATGAAATTGCAGAATAAATACTAAATCAGTTTTATATTCGATTCAAAATTTATTCAGCAAATTCTTATCGAAAAACAATACTTTTTTAAAGCAAATTCATTTTTGAGTATATTTAATTAATCAGTAAGTGAGAAAATGATAACTAATCGATGAAAAGAGAAAAATCTTTATTAAATTACACTTTTAATTAAAATTAAGGTTGAATAGATCAAATAAAACTGTAGTTAGTGAAATTAAATATACAACACTATATAAGCTATCTATCTTACACTATTTGGCAAGAAACGATAAAAAATGACAAGATTTCGTAGGAAGTGTGATTTTATAGTGCTTCGAAAACTTAATATTGGCTAAAAGCTGAATGAACAACAGGGAATTGGCACTAAAAGATTTATGTTGCTAAAAAAAGGAAATATTAAATTATTAGACATAATGAATCAAGGCTCTTACTGGAATAACCGTTAATACAGTCTGTTCGCTTAAATAAATATAATTTTTTAATTTTGTAGTGATATAAATTGAAGAAGCAAACGACATATGGAAAATTCTGATTAGATAAACACTGAATTATCACAGTAAAATTTATAAAGTAAATTTGTCAAATTTTTCATTTAAAAATTTTACTAAAATAACTATTTTCGTTTACTTCTTAAAAAATATTTTTAAGTTTTCATTAACTAACTTTTTGAATATATAACATCAAAAATACAGTAATCTCATTATAATAATCATTTATAAAAATTATTTAAACATAAAAATATTAAGTACACATTTAAATAATTGACCAATTATGCAATACACATACAATTAAAAAATATTAATCAATGTTTGTAAAAAATTTTTGAATTAAATGTGAAAGTACAAAATGCGTCGCAAGTAAACACTAACACTCATGTACTACTCTCTGATAAAACTATAGAAAGTGAGCTGACTGATGAAGTATGAAACATGACAAAACGTTGCAGTACTGTTTCTATAATAACCTGTCCTGAACATGCAAAAACTTTTTAATAGTTAATTTTTATCACCAAGCATGCTTTATTCACTGATGACTAATTGTTATCAACTGATCATTGACACATTCATATCACACCTTTTTTATATACCTTATTTGTGAATAATAATTAAAAGTATTAAAATCTAAAAATTTTGAAATCAGTTGTTGCAAAATTTACTCAAATTTGATAATTCTAAGTATTTCGTCAAATATAGGACAGGGACAAATGACAGCAGTACGTGTTGGAAAATGATATCGACACATTAGAGAAACAGATAGATAGTTGTATTGCCTTATAGTGATCAGTGACCTTGCAACTATTTTTTCTACATAAAATTAGTTGGTAAGCTGATTATTGCTCAAATTATACTTGATAATTAAATTTATTTCATTCTATCAGTGATAAAAAAGAAAATATATAGTTGTATGAAATGCAAAAAAGATATGCTGTGGTATAAACAAATACAAATATCTCATTCAATTCCTTAACAACTTCAATAAAAGATTTAAATCATTAGTTAAATTAATAAAGATTAGGCATACTTGCAGATGAGTTAAACGACCAAAGAAACGAGAAAAACCAGAATATATTAAACTCAACAAACAAAAAGGACTTCGTTTTTTAATAGTGACTAATTAAAATGAAAAAAAAAAAGAACAACTTACAGTTTGGATTGATAGCAAAATTACTTGAAGTGAAAAATATGGAATAAAAAGCTTAATAATGTCAAAAGTCGTAATTTATAATTTGGAAATAAAAAGTTTTCTACTTAGCTGCGAAAAACTAACATTTTTTCACTAAAAACAATACATAAGTAATTTTTACCTATTAATCTTACTACTGATTAACTCTATTTTTTTAATTAAACGCACAAACTTATAATTAGATGAGATGTGCTATGCAAAAAGTAAGCATGCAAGGAGCACTTTACATACTACTTGCTGTCTGTTTGCTTTTTGTTTACGAGACTTTACTGAAAATATCGTTCAAATATCAATTGCTTAATCATCTGTTTTATAGTAACAACAAAAGCTACCAAAAGTAAACAGCAATTATTTTCTATACATGTCTATGTCTATGTTTCGATGAATAGCGTTTCTTTAAATCTCTTTTTTAAAAATACTAAAAATTTTTATTTTCAAATGAATACATCATCGCAAAATTTTACTGTTGACTAAATACATCACTTCATATACTACCAGTGAATGAATGATTTGGAAAATGATGCTAAGATTGTGTACAATAATGAAAAAAAAAATTATTTAAACAAATAATAATGATAAACGACATAAGAAATACAAAGATTTGCTTTTGCTTATTTAAATACAAAGTTGATGAATCGTTTTTTTTCTGCCACAAATGTTTGACCAAGCTATAGAAAATGCTAGAAGAAGGAACTGTAGTAGTAAACTTACGTATTTAAGTACAACGTTGTTTACTTTGTTAGCATAAAAGTAATTTGAAAGGTAGAACCATCACTCGGGAGCAAGTTGACAACTGAATTGAAAGCATCAGAATTGATGCTGTCAAGTATCTTAGCAAATTGACTTCGTCTTTTTTCTGCAAAAAAAAACTTTAAATTTTATGTTGTTTCTATTACAACTGTTTACTTATTTATAGAATAAATAGTTTCGAGCATTTCCGTTATTTCAAGATGCACTTTGCGTCTTGAAATATCTCATACAAATAAGTAATTGCCGAAATTATGTTTGTTAAGTGATATAATTTAAATTCTTAATCATTACTCGAATATATGCCTAGAAATGGAATGGTAGAAATTTCAACTCATTTAAATAAAAAAATTACAGTAGTTGAAAAGCATTAAAAAATTTTTTTTAATTTTTACTTAGAAGAATATAAGATAAAATGTTATTTCTGAACCTTTGAAATGAAATCGATTCAATTCTTTCCAAAATTATGCAACTTTTTTTATTTGTTCAATTATTATCACACTTATCATAGCTAATAAATGTTAGAAGTATTATCACATAATATTTGACAGTTAGGTTCATTTTTTGACAATAGTCTTAAAATTCTAATAAAACAAAACTTATAAAATATTGCAATAATATTTTGGCTGACATCAGAAATCACAATCCTGGTTTCAATCACAATCTTGTTATAAAATTAATAAAATATAATAAATACTGAAGTTATTAATGCATTCATGTTAATAATTGCTAACTATTTTTTTAAATTGTTTTTTTTTAATTTGAAAATACAATTACGTGAAAATCAATAATGTCTTTTATAAAAATTTGAAATTCAGTATTAAAAAATCCATCAAATGTAATAAACAAATTTAAATGACAAAAATGTCGAAATAATTTGCCATGTTTTGTATGAGTAATGCAATATTCCATTAAAAATTTATCAACTAATTGTATTACTTGTTTAACAGGTGCTAAGACAGAAAATAATAATATTTTCAATCCAGACCTTTTCACACATATTTTTTGTTATGTGATATGAAAAATTAAGCAAAAGATGACAATTTAGCAAAGAGACGATAATTTGAATTTTAGAAAGTTTGTGCTTTAAAAAAATTGTAGTACACGCTGAAATGATTTTCTGCAAATTCAGAGCAAATTTAACACGGTTGAATAGTACTAGAGGTCGTTATTGCCCACCTGTGCAACTTTTCAACTCTCTTTCATCATTTTCATGCAAATTTTAAAAAAATATCTGGTAATGCATAAAATATTTTAGTGTGATATATGTATGAATTTCTTTAGCTATTGTTTGTACTTTTAATTTATTCTAATTATCATTTCAGAATTATATAATTATGACTGATAATTAATTTTCGATATTAGTAGATCTGTTTATCTCTAAATTAAATTCAGCTTTAATATTCTTTATCAAGTTGTTTCAAGATGATCAAAAATCTTGTTTAATTTAAAGCGTGTGATAGAAGAA